ATATGGATCTACAACAATATAATTATATAATATAATTTTGATAAAAAATGTTCATATGCTATTTTCTCGATCGTAGTAAACTACATCCGATTCAGTTTTCAAATAGTTATTTTTTGAGGATATACAGCCGATTACAGGTTTTGAAATAAGAATAGTTTTCCGGTGGAAAATATAAGTGATGGGAGTATTATATACGGATCTACAACCGATTTTACGCTTTAGATGAAAATCGATTTTTGATAATAAATTAAATTGATTACAGATTTTTATTTTACGTAATCGTAAAGTTAGTTAAACATTATAGAGTTTTCAAATAAAAATAAATTTTTGATTAAAAATTTAACTAAATAATAATTCTTATATAATATAAGAAGTATATATCATGATCTCTAGCATTATAAATGTAACAAAAAGTAGACGGAAAAAAGTCATTGCATTTCATTAAGATCACAACATTCCTGAAATTAGTGGTATAGGTGTATTTTTTTGGATTTTATGTATTAAATATTCTCTTCCTCAAACTAACCTAACCTTCCACGAACTATTATCATGCTGAATTTCATGAAGCATAAAATCCAGATCAAAAAGTTGATTCCATAAATACACTGTATGTTGCCAAATTTCTTGAAAATCGGTTCATATTTTTTATATTTAGCCTAGAAATTTGGTGTTATAGGTGGTATTCTAAAAGTGAACATAAAAATATGCGTAGCATCCAATCAATATAATATAGAGTCTTTTTTAACTTCTGAGGTTATACCTATTAATATGCCGAATTTATGTAAACCGATTTAGTAGTTATGTAGTGAAAGAGTAAAAAGAGTGTCATATATATTTATTATTAAATACATATTATACGTTTTGAAGATGTAATGTTTCGTAATGTTCATTCCACAACATTCATTATAATAGTTTTTATGAAAAAAAAAAATACTGGCAGGCAACGCTGCCATGAGTAATTAGCAAAAGTTTTTGTGCTAAGAAAAATAATTAAAAATTAAAAAGTTTTATGTTTTAAAGTAGCATTTTGTATCTAATAATCTAAAAAAAGAACATTTTGTTTAATAAAAGTTTTATTTATTGAGTGCTCTTTTGTTTGTTAAAAAAGTAAACAAACAAAATAAATAATACAATACAACGTACAATAACAGCTTGTAATTGGTAGCACTGTTTAGTGTTTGGTGTTATTACTGATTGGTTGCAGTTTATTTACTTTTTGCACAAGGAATAATCATTTAAAAAGCCTGTGTTACCCGATTGGATTTTTATTGGAGTACTCATTTATTTGCAACACGTCTCTTCCGTTTGGCTACTCTTCAAAGTACATATTTGGTTAATTTTGAGACACCAGTTGTTACATCTGCTGTTGTTTATATCGGGGCTGGGATTTGCAGTGTATTTAAAATTGTACTATCCCTGCCAGCAATTTTGTAGTCGACTACGAGAAAAATTCACTTCTAGTTTACTTTTACAGACTGACTATAAGCTAACTACAATGTAATGCAGAGCTGTCCCGAAATTGTGTATTTGGCAACTTAAAGAACCGACTTTTAAATACTAACTACAAGCTAACTATAATGTAATGCAGAAGTGCCTCAAAATTATCTGGAGGGAATCAATTGTATTTCAACATGTTTTCTCTTGTTTCTCTATTATTATGATTTTATTTGTTAACTTTAGTAGACTGACTATAAACGAACAACAATGTAATGCAGAAATGTTCCAAAATTTGGTATTTATTAACGTAAACAACCGACTTTTAAAGACTAGGTACAAACTAACTATCATATAATGCGGGAGTACCCCAAAATTATCTGGAGAGCATTTTGTTTCGACATGTTTTCTCATGTTTCTTTATTATTTGGAATTTTGTTTTACATTTTTGTCATTTCCTTGTATACGTTGCACAGTGGTATAGGGAAAAAAAAAGAGGGAAATAATTCGGTAACTTCTAAACGGTTAATCCGATTTTAATGAAATTTGGTGTGCACAAAGAGGAGGTGTTGTCGAGTTTAGGTTTTGAATTTGGACCTTATAGGCCAACCAGGGGCCCGGCGGGGGGTCATCAAATTAGGACACCTCGGCTATGTTAAATTTTTAAAACGATCCTATTTCTTCATTTGAGTTCCGATTTAAAAAAAATTTCGTATATAGAATCTCCTCATCGAGCACTATAAAAAATGTCGTCGTAGCAGTAAATTATCTCTTATAGTTTAGGAGATATTCGCATTTGAATATTAAAATTTTAAAATTTTTACCGTCCTTACTTTAGTTTTTTTGATAATAGCAGGTCCAAATATTTCCGATTTTCGCCATTTTTTTTTATTTGCTTAACAACAAGTTTATATACCAAGCAGTGAAAGAATTATGTAAAAATCATGACTGAGTCCAAAGTTATAGGCATTTAAATTTAAAAAATTAAAAAAAGGCGATTTTTTGTCATTTTTTTGGGAAAAAAGTATCTTTTTCTTTTTAAGTTATCTAAAAAGTTTCTAAGAAGATGTATATAGAATTTATACTTTTTGGAAAGCTGACTTTACACAAAGTACGATAAATGAAACAAAACCTAAAAATTTTTGATACCTAGGGGACCAGGTCCATCCAAAAAAACCCTATTTTTTATGGAAAATTAAATTTTGAGCAAAAATTCTCAAATCGCATAGTCGATATCAAATTATAGTGACCTGTTTTATATGACCCAATATGTTCTTAATCATTTTGTAACGGGTTTCGATAACCCCGCCCCTGGTATGGATATAATAGGCAAAAACTAAAAAATCCCATTTTTGGGATTTTTTAAAACTTTTTTGGGAATTCCGGGATTTCTAATAAGAAAATTCGAAATTTTGATTTAATTTTGGATTTTAAGTAAAAAAATCTACCTAACTGTAAAATTTCATCAAAAAATATTCATAAATAAAATTTTTATTGCAATTAGAAAAATTTGTATCTTCGCAAAAACTGAATAAAAAACATTTTTTAATTTTTTTTAAAAAAAAGTATTCCGCGAATTTTTTAATTTTCAAAAATTATATACAGTTTTGAAAAATAGACAAAATTACCTTTCCATTGATATATAACATGCCTACCTAATGTTTTTTAAGTGACAAATTAATTAGGGAAAACTCAACATCTTTTAGAAAATTTACCTAGCACTATTATTTTCATCCATATATGTAACAAATTTAAGAGTTAACCTTATGGATGAAAATAATAGTGCTAGGCAAATTTTCTAAAAGATGTTGAGTTTTCCCTAATTAATTTGTCACTTAAAAAACATTAGGTAGGCATGTTATATATCAATGGAAAGGTAATTTTGTCTATTTTTCAAAACTGTATATAATTTTTGAAAATTAAAAAATTCGCGGAATACTTTTTTTAAAAAAAATTAAAAAATGTTTTTTATTCAGTTTTTGCGAAGATACAAATTTTTCTAATTGCAATAAAAATTTTATTTATGAATATTTTTTGATGAAATTTTACAGTTAGGTAGATTTTTTTACTTAAAATCCAAAATTAAATAAAAATTTCGAATTTTCTTATTAGAAATCCCGGAATTCCCAAAAAAGTTTTAAAAAATCCCAAAAATGGGATTTTTTAGTTTTTTGCCTATTATATCCATACCAGGGGCGGGGTTATCGAAACCCGTTACAAAATGATTAAGAACATATTGGGTCATATAAAACAGGTCACTATAATTTGATATCGACTATGCGATTTGAGAATTTTTGCTCAAAATTTAATTTTCCATAAAAAATAGGGTTTTTTTGGATGGACCTGGTCCCCTCGGTATCAAAAATTTTTAGGTTTTGTTTCATTTATCGTATTTTATGTAAAGTCAGCTTTCCAAAAAGTATAAATTCTATATACATCTTCTTAGAAACTTTTTAGATAACTTAAAAAGAAAAAGATACTTTTTTCCCAAAAAAATGACAAAAAATCGCCTTTTTTTAATTTTTTAAATTTAAATGCCTATAACTTTGGACTCAGTCATGATTTTTACATAATTCTTTCACTGCTTGGTATATAAACTTGTTGTTAAGCAAATAAAAAAAAATGGCGAAAATCGGAAATATTTGGACCTGCTATTATCAAAAAAACTAAAGTAAGGACGGTAAAAATTTTAAAATTTTAATATTCAAATGCGAATATCTCCTAAACTATAAGAGATAATTTACTGCTACGACGACATTTTTTATAGTGCTCGATGAGGAGATTCTATATACGAAATTTTTTTTAAATCGGAACTCAAATGAAGAAATAGGATCGTTTTAAAAATTTAACATAGCCGAGGTGTCCTAATTTGATGACCCCCCGCCGGGCCCCTGGTTGGCCTATAAGGTCCAAATTCAAAACCTAAACTCGACAACACCTCCTCTTTGTGCACACCAAATTTCATTAAAATCGGATTAACCGTTTAGAAGTTACCGAATTATTTCCCTCTTTTTTTTTTCCTATACCACTGTGCGTTGTGAAATTAGAGTCAGTAAATTGGAAAAATTAATTATAAAAGGTTAAATATTTCAAAACTCGGTCCCTAAATTCTAAATTCTGCTGATTAATACTGTAAATATAATACATTAACAGTTAACATTACACATAACATTTTAAAATTTATTTTAGATTTGGATCAATGGGAATCATGGAAATAATGAACAAATCATTCATAATTTTATGGATACCGGTGTTATTATTAGTTCCCCTGCAGAAAACTGATGTCTATTAATTTTAACGAACTAATATCATAACTTGTATTAAAGTGAAATGTAATTTAGATAACTAGTAGTTAAATTTATATATATTTAAATATATTTAATTAAAATTTAATTAATAAATACAGTAGGGAATACAAAAGAAAACTATTACTTGACTTTTCTGCAACTAACTTTAAGTTAGTTAATAAAGAGTTAACTTTAAGCTAAGTTTTTTGTAACTAACTTTAAGCTAGTTGAAAAGGCATGCAGAGTCGGACAATTGACTACTGCGTAGGACATCGCCATGTTAAAATAGTCAGTTGGCTCCATTAAAAATAATCCAAGAATCAACCATAACTAGTTGATGAAAAAGTCAGCTTTTAATGCATTTAAAGTTAGTTGAGTTGCTGGCAGGGATGGCTCCACACAGTGAGAATTTTAAATGTCCACAGTGTGACAAAAATGTTACCAAGACCCAAAGAAGTGTTGGTTGTGCTTATTGTGGTGAATACTTTCATATAAAATGTGCCGACATTTCCTTAGAACAACATAGTATTTTATTAAAAAATAAAGTTTTAAAGTATATCTGCAGTAATTGTACTAATATACGCAAAGGCTGTAATGTGCAGGAGGAGTTAAGGAATGGTTTTGCGGCTCTAAAAGTTTCTTTGGAAAAGGACTTAGAGGAAAAGATTCAAGCGAGTAGACAGCTGCTTAATGAACATCTTGAAGCTGGTTTAAGGGTAATCGAAGAGAAATTTTCTGAATTATCAAATTCTCAACCAATCTGTGATGTAGAACTGATAAAATCTGATTTGAAACATTGTTTCGATGTAGTCAAAGTGGTTGATAATGCGGCCAATAGCAAATTAATTAAACTTGAAACTCAGGCGAGTATATTGCAAAGAAGGCTAAATAGAGCAAATGTTGTTATCTGGGGGCTGCCTAAAAAAATTAAGGATCTTCGTACTCCTGTTAGAAAAATTTTTTCTTTGTGCAATGTGTCAGTATCGGATACGGATCTTCAGCATTGCACTTATTTTGCTGGCGGTAAAGCTGTTTTGGTAAAGTTTAATTCAATTCAGGTTCGGGATATTGTTATGTTTAATTACAACAAAGCTAGAAACATAAAGCTAAGTGATGTCATTCCCTCTTCTGTTCATTCTAAAATAATTATAAATGATCATTTAACTGATGCAGCAAGAAAGTTGATTTCTGTATGTCGGAGGCTGAGAAATGAAGGAAAATTTGTTAAATATAAATTCAAAAACTATGATATTCCGAAAGCTAGCATTACAATGAATGATGGGTCGGTGAAGTTGCTCTCTTATAATCAATGTATTGAACTATTTGGCGATTTAAATAACTGCTCACTTTCTCCAATTAATATTTCCAATCCCAGTTTTTTGTCAACATAACGTTTTTTTTTTTTTTTTTTTTGTTTGTTATTTATTATGATTGATCTCGTTTCCTTATTTTCGTATTTATTACTTATTTATATTTATTTATTGTGTTTTAAATTTATTTTTGTTATAGTATTTTTATCGCACACTTGTCCCTCCATTTACGCAGTATTTTTTGTTTTATACATATATGTATGTATGTATGTATGTATGTATGTATGTATGTATGTATGTATGTATGTATGTATGTATGTATGTATGTATGTATGTATGTATGTATGTATGTATGTATGTATGTATGTATGTATGTATGTATGTATGTATGTATGTATGTATGTATGTATGTATGTATGTATGTATGTATGTATGTATGTATGTATGTATGTATGTATGTATGTATGTATGTATGTATGTATGTATGTATGTATGTATGTATGTATGTATGTATGTATGTATGTATGTATGTATGTATGTATTTATGTATGTATGTATGTGTATGTTATGTGCACATTCCTTTTTTATGTTTTTATTCCAATTAACACGTAATTACTGGCGTTTTTAATTTGTTTAATATACACATGCATATGCTTGTATGTATGTATGTGTATGTTATGTACACTTTGCTTTTTTTTTTAAGTTTTTATTGCGTTTTTAAATTTGTTTAATGTACACATACATATATTTATTTATATCTATGTAAATTGAGTGGCATTTGTGTCTCCTTTTTCAAAAATTTATATTTTGTTTCTTTTTTTATAATATTGAGTGTTATTTTGGAAGTTGTATATAACAATTTAATTTATTTTTCTTTTTAATTATTTTTTTTAAGCATTTTTACATTTTTAAATATTTGTCATGTCTGCTCGAGATAATCTTGGTTACGTTGTAAGTGACAATAGCTTATTACGATCTCAACTATCTGTTTTCAATAGAAATTTTAATGTGGCCCACCTTAATTGTACAAGCCTTAACTTAAATCCGAACTCTACTAAATTTGCAGAGATCAAACGTCTGCTCGATGGTGGATTTCTAGATGTTTTCGGTTTAAGTGAAACATGGTTAAGGGAAACGGTTTCCACTAGTGTCATTGATATTTCAGGATATGTGTGTGTTAGAAATGATCGGCCATGTGGTAGGGGTGGTGGTGTTGCTCTTTACATTTCTAAGAATATTGAGTATAGAGTTGTATATATAGGTCAAAATTATGGAGTAGTTGAGTGTCTGTTTGTTGAAGTTGTTTTTGGTGATGTCAAGGTTTTAGTGGGGACAGTTTATCTTCCTCATGGTGATTTTGCTTCACTTGAGGGTGAAATATCTGACATTCTTGTTCGATATTCAAACATTGTTATTATGGGTGATTTTAATAATAATTTGTTTGATCCGGTAAAGTCTTTGAGAGTTAGGAATATTTGTCATGGTTTAAATCTTTCTCCTACTCACAATTCAATGCCTACTCATTTTGATGTTCGTCATAATTCAACTTCTTTATTGGATTTTTTTTGGTGTCTTCTCCGGAATTGGTAGAGGTATCGGACCAGTTCCAATGTCCGGGAATATCGCGTCACTCATTCATTTTTTTGTCGCTCAAGATTTCTCGATCGGTTGCCAGACAATTTTATGAATTTTATGATTATGATGCAGTCAATATGGGTTCATTGGAAGCCATGTTGTTGGATTGTGATTTTGGTGGCATGTATTTAACTGATAATGTGGATGAGCAGTTGATGATTTTAAATGAGAATTTTCAGTTCTTGCATTTTGTTGTCCCATTTAAGAGACGAATGGTGCGTGGTTATAATGATGAGTGGATTAATGCACCTGAGATAGTTTATTGTCTGTCAGTTATGCTCTTGCTTACAGAGCATATTTGATTGATAGGACTGAGACTAATTGGAGAATGTTCTGTCGGACTAGAAATCGGGCGAAGTCAGTTATTAGGAAATATAAGAGAAAGGCACATGGTTTAATGTTCAAGGATGGGGACAGTAGGAAGATTTGGGATATATTGAATAAGAATGGTGTTGTGGATGGTACTGATCATTTTAATGGTGTTGATCCTAATGAATTAAATGAAGCTTTCTCCTCTAATCAGTCTGTTGATTATGATGGCTTTTTAGATTTTTCCAATATTCCATATGATGGATTTTCTTTTCGTTCGGTAGATGTTTTTGAGATGTTTGATGCTTTTGAACTGATAAAATCAACTGCTGTTGGTCATGATCGATTTACGCTCAAATTTCTCAGACTTCTAATGCCAATTGCTGGTAATTATATATTACGTTTAGTTAATACAATTTTAACCACTTCAACTTTTCCCTTGTCGTGGAAGGTTGCAAAGATTATTCCTATAAGGAAGAATAGCGTTTTAATTGGTCGTGATGAATTTAGACCCATATCAATATTGCCAATTTTATCTAAAATGGTTGAACATCTTATGAAGATTCAACTTGTAAAGCATATTGATGATAATCGACTGCTTCATGATTGTCAATCAGGCTTTAGGTGTAATAGGAGTACTACGTCTTTGCTTCTTGGTCTAACTGAAAACATTAGGAGTAATCTTTCTGGCAATGGTATATGTGTTTTATTATCTTTGGACTTTGCTAAAGCCTTTGATAGGGTAAATCATTTGCTTTTAATTAAAAAGTTGCATCGATATTATGGCTTTTCTGGATCGGCTTGTAAATTGATATATTCATATCTATCTAATAGAATGCAATATGTTTTTTGTAATGGGGTTGCTTCCAGAACACTTCCAGTTTATAGTGGTGTTCCGCAGGGTTCAGTTTTAGGGCCTCTGCTTTTTATTATGTTCATGAATGATCTATTCGATATAGTTTCAAGTAATATGTGTCTTCCATTTTCTTTTGCGGATGATGTTCAGTTATTGTTTAAGGGTGTTGCCGAGTTTCCTGATGTTCTGCAGAATATGATTGATTTTACTGTTGAATTGCTTTTGAATTGGGTTACTGATAATCGTCTTGTTATCAATACGGATAAGACTAAGGCAATGTTTTTTGGTAAAAGTAATAGTTATAACTTTTCAGTTGTCTTTAATGGTATAATAATTGAGTTTGTTGATAGACTTAAATGTCTTGGTGTAATTATTGATACTGGTTTGAGCTTTGAGAGTCATGTGAATTCTGTTGTATCTAGGGTTAATTTTACTTTACGTAAGCTATACAGTTTAGATTTATTGTTGCCGTTTAATGTTAAGAGGAGAGTTGTACATGCACTGGTAATGCCAATATTTTTATACGCCTTGGAGGTTTTTACTGGAACCTTTGGTTACATCATAAAAAAACTTAGATTAGCTTTCAATAGAGTTGTTAGGTATTTGTACTCTCTTAGGATGTCTCAGCATGTATCGTCTTATATTTATAAGTTCTTGGGTTTTTCCTTCATGGAATTTATAACTTATAGAAATCTGTTACACTTTTATAAGTCATATAAATTACAGACTCCTGGATATCTAGTTGATTTGTTTGTATTCTGTAGATCTACCAGGAATAGACAGTTAAAATTACCAAAATTAACTCCGATATTGGAGCGCTCGTTTTGTGTTAGGGTAGCACGATCATATAACAAATTACCTATTTCCCTGAGAATATTTGATGTCTCAGCCGATACTTACAGGAGGAAACTATTTCGAGAGCTCTCTTGTCATAGTTAGTTTCTGTAGTTTGGTTTAGGTGTCGGATGTTTTTTTGAGGGGATTTGTATTTGCTAAGTATATGTGTTATGTTTGCACTTATTGGGCATTTCATTTGGAAATTTGGATTTGTTATTTTTGTGCTTTTTATTTTGGTTTATCTTATGAATTGTATGAATTTATTAGATATTTTAGGGTGTGTGTCTTTATGGTTTATGGGGGTGTTCTGAGTTCTTTTTTGGTATATTTTATTGGGAACAAACTTCTTATTTTGGATATATGGCGGGAGGTGGTGATGCATTTTAATATTGTATGGGTGTCTGATTTCTCTTTTGTATATTTCTTGTTTTTCATGATGTGGGCAGGCAATGTGTGAATTTTGATATTATGATTGCATGGATGATTCTTGTCTTAACATTTTTGGTTCTATTGATTATTTGGTGTATGGTATTACTGTGGTAAATTTTTAATTAAATTTTGTATCTTTAATTGCATATTGATATTTGATGTTATATTTGCATTCTTTTTTGTTATCAGAGCCGAATGAATGGTAATGACATCTATTTAACTAAGCAGGGTTGTTTATTTTTTATCTATATTGTTACGTTGATGTTTATTAGTGGCTCAACTTTGAATGCTATTCACATATTTGAAGTCTTTTTTGCATAATTGTGGGAAATTAAACTCCATTTCTTAACAGTGACTAGTCATTTTCTGTGATAAATTGGTAGGTTGAATTTTGCTTGATTGCATTTTGAATGTTTTTTATTTGCATTTTAATGTTCTTTTTGCGGGTTTCTGATGTTTACTGCTTTAAATTTGGAGTGTCTGGAAGAATTATTTCGGATTCCTTCTGTGTTCTGTTGGTAGATGATATATGTGGATTTACTTCTTGTTCCAGTTAAGCCATATGTTACATGTAGCTTTACTATATGAAGTCTATGATTTGTTCTGTTATTGTGTTTAACAATATCTGTGATATTTTCTATAACCATTGCTATATATTTTATATCTTTTTTGTTGTTAGGAGATCTGGTTGTAATGTTGTGGTACATCTATTTCGTCTGATTCTTGATTGACAATGCTATGCTATAGTATGTTGATTTTCGGAGGTATGTTTTGCTCGTTGGATTTTCTTTGTTGTTTGCTATTTTGGTATGTGCATGTTATATTGATCTGTATTTATTGATGATACTGTAACAGCTTTTTTCTTTTTATCGGATATTTGCTTGCAACATTCCATAATAATGAGAGAGATGTTGTTGTTCTATTGTATTGACTGAATATGGTGTTAATTCTTGGTAATTGGTGTTGGTTTGACTTTGGGGTTTGACTTGTGGATAAAACTATCATGGCTTCAAGG